ATAATAGTGAGGTTTAGATCTGACTTCCACTACCACTTTAAGAAACTATTAACCCACCTCCATTGAAGAAATCAATCCAAATAAACAGCAAATGTATGGGCAAGACAAGAACTGCAAATGCAGTGACCACAAGCCGTAGAATCTTGATTACTTTGCGTGTCTCTTTCTGTTGTTCTTTTATAAGTTCGCTATTTTCGTGACCGATATTACTCTGGGATAGCTCCACGCCAACTCTGAAATATTTAATTCGTTATTAAAATAAGATAAGGTATTTTGAAGATTGTTTCTTTATATTTTTGTTGTATGTTAGCCATGGGTGTACCAAGCTGGCTGGCTGGCTGGCTGCCTGCCTGCCTGCGAACCTACTTACCTACCTACCACCATAGATATCTTATATACACTAGATAGCGCATCTCTCAGTTTAGTAAAATTGAAGCCAATAATATTCCAGCGGTTACCCCCATTTGAATAGATGGCGGCCATGTTGGAGTTTCCCACTCGCTAATAAATGCTTAAAAAACAACAATAACTTTCATCATTTGAATAATTTGAAAATGTATTTGGAATAGGTTTACCTTAATGTTTAAGTCCCCTGTTTAATAAATGGAAAACATACGAGTCTTCTCACTTCATGGGAATATCCTGAGTCTGCAATCACGGCTTCAAATTGCAGAATAATTAGATGCACTATCTAGTGTATATAAGATATCTATGCCTACCACCAATTAAGTCTCGTGAATACCAATACTACCCACCTTATATAACAGACGACAATGATGGTTAAAGGCACAATATATTGTGCAATGAAAACACCAATAGTATATGCTCGTGTTACCATGCCAGCTGCCTCAAAATCCTCCTGGCAGGTATCACCATTCAACTCTAATGCCAACATGTATGGTATAACAACCACCAGACCGATGGTCCAGACCAGTAAGATTATCCATTTAGCATGGCTAGTTTGCAGCTGAGGACGGAACGGATAGACGATTGCGATGTAGCTAGATAAAAAGTAACGAAACATAGTTTTAGTCATAGGAAAAGGAATCCTTGAAAATCCTATTGCTAACGGTGTTGGTCGCGAAACCATTGGGGCAAGAGTGGAATAAATAGTACAGTCTATTGCTTAGAGAATGGGATTTGGGTGATAAGAGTAGCGAATAAAAGTTCTGGGTTTTCACGGTCACCACGGCCACTTGTCCAGAGAGGCTATCATTTGAGAGTGGGGGTTGCAGTTGATTCAGGCTCATCATGTTGGGAGGGGGGGGGGGGGGACTTTGGTAGGATACAGAGGGTATTCGCTTCCCTGCATTAAACTACCGTTGGATAGCTAGCTCTAACAGTTGAAACTGCTCTCCTTAGAGGTCTTGTGTGGTAGATACTTCAAGCCTGTGAACCATTACCTTTGCAGTTCACTAAGGTTAAAATGTGTTCAATTCAGCAATCAACTTATTCATTTCATATGTAACACTGTGATTATCTTTTCTTAAAAGATGTGTTGAGTAGCGGCATATTCTGCCGAAATTTCATACATGTAGATCATACATCATAATACAGGCAAGGATCATGGAAAAGATCACTTAACGTTTGAAGTGATACAATTTATTATACCATTTTACAACGGAAATTGCACTCAAGTGGTCAAAAGTTGCCGTAAAAAACAGTTTAACATGGCCTTCAAGAATACTTGCGATTAATGAATGCATTTTTGCGCCGCACAGATGTTTTATAATTTAAACATAGTGAATGATTGAATTAGGTGTCCACTACCTGATGGCGCAGAAGTAGAGCCGCAGAGGTGTCTTCTGACATTTGACGCACTGCACGTGGCATTTGTTTATCGTCATTTGGTTCTTCCTTAATTAGCATATATTGCGTAGTTTCCTGTAATTCTCTTTTTCATTATTATTTTTCATTAATACCAATTGAATTATCGTCTTGTGCTATTTTAGTTTGTGTTACTGGGTTATTTCCAACAATTAGTGGCAACTATAGCTCTAGGTAAAAATGAGTATACCCTCTTAAATTAATTCAAACAGTAGAAAATTGCACTACTCCATTCTGCCTGACCAAATGAGTGACAAGTTTTTAGATTTTCAAGATTGTTTTTTAATCTTAGACTTAGGACTTATACAAGCCCAGATCTAAGTCCAGAAATGACTTTCAAGATTCACCCTTCTTGTGTATTTTTAAAGAGATATATACTGTATTTCTGAATTAGAGAATTCCACAAATCGGTCTTTGTTCTCTTCAATCGACCATTAGCAATTTGGGGGATTTTTGATTGCGTGAGCATGTGCCATGTGGCCTTGAATGATTGATAAAGATTTTAAATATATTTGAAGTATGAAAACATGAAATAACTTTGCTGGTATATCAACATGCATATATCCGGCCTCACGACAGTCCTGATGATTGAGGTATACTAAAATGAAATTGTGATCGTATGAAGCGCGTATTAAGTTCCCATTGTTGTTTCATACACATTGGCTAACCTTTTTATTAATAATGTGCTATACCCAATGCACAATTTGGGGGAACCCACCCGTCCAGTTACTCTGGGTTCAGTTGCTATAGAACCATATACAATAGAAGGGTTACTATATGCATTGAAATTATGCATTCAAGTTAGACCTCACATGTCACATAATTATGAACAACTTTAATGCTTATACGATTTTTCTGTGTTGGTGTAATGCACTCAGGTGAATATGATGCTTGTGATGTTACTCTGAGTGTATATACACATTCCACACCGGGCAAGCTTGAAAAATATGCCTGTCCAGGATGGGAATCTACGACCTTTGGAATACTAGCCCAATGCTCTGGCAGCTCTGCCAACTGAGCTACGCGGTCAGGTCGGCTCGAGTTTGTGATATTTCGGAACAGAATCTAGTTCCTTCGATATCAATGTAATCTAGTATATGATTTTTCTGTGTTGGTGTAATGTACTCAGGTGAATATGATGCTTGTGATGTTACTCTGAGTGTATATCCACACCGGGCAAGCTTGATGTGGATATACACTCAGAGTAACATCGCAAGCATTTAATGCTTATATAAGTTACCTTTATTCTATTCCCATCATCCTCTAAACTGGGACATTCGACTTGGGATAACTCACATACCTTGTTACTAGGATTGAGTATAGATAACCTTTGGCCAAATTTGTGCATTGCGTGTTCATGCATGCTTAATTAAAATTCTCGTATCACTTATGGATTACGATTTCAATAATCCAATGCAGGAAATTGTACAGATAACAAATATGCCTGGCAGCTTTTAGTATATTGTATACTCTTTCTGGACTAAGATTCGTTCTTTATTGTAACATTTTAACTAGATTTACCTACTCTTTTAATTTTTTAAAACATTCCTTTGCCCCCTTTGGCTTAGTATTTTTTGTTTGCTTGTGAGTCAGTTTATCTTCCACAAGCAACAGCCGTTGCACCATACAATATGCATGGTAGCATATATACTTACAAAAGCTTAGCTTAAAAATAAGGAAGAATTTGTTGTTACACCATGTATTTAATTCAATTCAATCCGTGTACTCGGGGCCATATCTTCAGAGAAAGAACACAACAAATGAAAATGGTGTAACCACAAGAAATTGTTCCTTATTTTTACTATGAACGCCATGCAAAGCTTTAGAGAAAACGAAAGCGTTGCTTATTTGTTCCAAAGTTACTTAATAGCTTCATTACTATCTCTGCTCAATAATTGATACGGAGTGCATGCTTAAAAGTGACAGAGCTATCGACGTATCATAAACTAAATCTAATACAATACACTTACCGTCCAATACTAATAGCAACCAATGACCAAACTGATACCGTTGTGGCCATAGTCTGTAACGGTTGTATCAATTTGCACATGCTAGCACCATATAACCATTTATCACCAGAAAACTTCACGATCAAATCCAAAGGTATATTGATGAACAGTACGAATAGATCGCTCGCAGCGAGGTTGACGATTAGAAAATTGGTCACAGTTCTCATCTTGCTCTGTCGACATACTACTAACACCACCAAGGTGTTTCCAATACCTCCGACAATACACAGAACAACGGTTGAAATGATCTCAAAGTTTTCAATGGCCATCGCAGGTGAACCTTTCTCAGTAATGTTGCTCGTCATGTCGTGCGATAAAGTTGACCTAAATTAAAGAGAACATCAACATGACATGTGGAATGCGGCATGTATGAAACACGTGGCTTGCCTTTCTAGGCAAACACTTAAGCTACAGGCAGAGTATTTTTGGGCCAAGCCAGGAATGATGCTTTCTTTTGGCTTAACATTTTTCTTTCGAAAAGCACTTAGAGCGAAAGCCATTTTTGGGCTGTGAGTCAAGGATTTCCTTGGAAAACACTTAGAACAAATGGAAATGTATTTTGGGTTTAAGGAATGAAGCTCCTCTCTCTTGGGTCAAGGATTTTCTTGGCAAACACTTAAGAGCTCCCGATACTTATTGTGCAGGCTTCAGCACTTACAGCTGCAGAAAAGATGTGTTACAAGGAAGGCTTATCTTAGCTCTATGGTGTCCAGGAATTTCCCACTTACAGACAAGTATAATCTTATGATGTGAAACTATTACTAATTAGTCAACCTATTAACCTGCTCAGGAAGGTCCTTGCACCTAAACCTTGACAACTTTCGATCTTTTTTCAGATAGTTCAGACACAAACCACGGCAGCTTGTTGTGGAATACCATACCCACAACTTGACCACCTGCATGCAGTATTATATGATAATTTCTTGTATGCCATGTGCTCTACCTTGCAAGACTACTCCATAATTTCCTTACATTAAAGTCTTCCCTAGTTAAATTAGTAGTTCCACAATTCTATAATAAACATGTCCGAAATCTTCCCACAAGCAAACAACCAACTGATATGCAGAAACCCAGCTGTTTCATCGTGATTAGTTTATCAGTATTAGGCGACAACTCAATTCGCATGCAACCTCAATGGACTAATGGCCACGACAGGGAAGTATACTTAAGGACGTATTACTTCTACTCTTCTTTATATTATACTTCAATATCGAAAGAGCTATGCTGATAAATCTATCAATTTAATCACTGTTGTGCACTCTCGCGAAATATTGCCAGTCCATATTTATCTTTGCAACAGACTTCGCGTATGTTAGAGAGGTACCTGATGTAACAAACTAGCTCCTTGATGAGCTTTAAATTTTGCCACAGTGACCCCTTATAGTCACCCGGCCATGTTAACTGATATTTCAGAATTGTGTTTACTGTGTCAAGTATAGAGTGATGCAAGTACTTATGATACGAAAATCACCCTGTCTTCTTCATTATTATTGCAAAGATCACTTAAAATGACTAGACTTTGGTAGAATACTTGTAGCTCTCTCCGAGATATTCAACTTCATCATCAGTATAGACGTCTCACTGCATAATGAGTTTCTCTGTACCAATATTCTTAATTATAACGTCTCGTTTACATCATGTATGAGACCAGGACGAAGTCAAACTGGGATGATTTCATTTCGGTCAGAGTATTATTTATTTTATAGATGTTTACATGATGCCGGGACGAAAAATTGTTAGTCAGACCTGTCTCAAGCTGTGGTGTCAAGTCATATCGCTAGACCGTGTCGACTATCTCCAGACCGGGATGAATTCGGAGCGAGATGAATGTAAACACAAATACATTTCAGACCCGATCTCGGCTGCGCTCTTGACTTTGGAACAATGTATATGTTCACAAAAGCACTGTAAGAAAAGAGAATGGCGGGCGAGGGGAATAATTTGAATGTTTTGCGATTTTCGTACCGGTTTCATGTGAACATACTTACCGATTTGACTTCATCCCGGTCTTATGTATACACGGGGCCTAATTTACGCAAAAGGGAAGGGCATATCCTAAGCCGGTGTCGACGCTCCAATAACGGGTTCCCCATAAAATATATCACAAACAATTAAGAGCTAAACTAAGTACAACAAAATCCAAAAATGTCAACCAACAACAAGGAACTTCCCCAAACGATATCATGTCGAAATAATGCATATTCATGATGTATTCATTCGACTATAGGAGAGTAGGAAATTTCATTGTGCAAATTTTAAAATTATATACCCAGTCCCTGAATCATCACAGGAATCTACTCATTAAACAACGCGTCTATACAATGCGTGATCAATCAATTTTCAATTATTGGTAGTAGCGAAATATGTACTTTTCAATATAATTGTGCATAATAGTTGTAAATATTTATAAATAGGAACAATCCTGTTATTTGCCCAGACGCATCTTCGAATATGCTTATCAGTCCCAACAGCCATATCTCTATAGAAACACCTTCACATGCAAATTGTTTTATTGTAGTGAGTTGTCTCACCTATAGGTTGAACACCAGGAGAATCTAATTATCAGCCGATATTTCCTGTATTATACGCGAGGACTCGTTAAAGGATTAAACCAGCAAACTCAAGACTAGTTCAATAACATCCAAATTCCACTCATAGAGTTATTTCAATCATACAAACATTAACCTTTGAATCACTGCAGGAGAATATTTATTCATTCGATGACTCCCTTATTGATTATCTATAGGTGATCAATTTCCCAAGCCATCAAATGTATGAGTAAAAATCCCTGGACCAAAATTAGCTCATGGTATCCAAATCTGTATCACTGACTTCATTCGATCTTATAAACATTGACCTCTGCACAGTGATAAACAAAACTAATTCATTTATCATTTTTTATTTCACTCACCTCTGTCAACTCTGGCGGTCGTTTTGCAAAAATTAAACGATTGATTTATTGCCCCTGATTGGTCAGTATACCTATGACTAACAATAACACAGCCTAGGATAAAAACGATCTTGTACGATCTCCAAATGTATTTCACTCGTATATGCATTGACCTGTACGGTCATTCATTTCTCATTTTACCCACGACGCGAACCCCTTTTCTCATCATTTAAACGTTTTCCGCGATAATATCTGATTGACGACAAACGTTTGGCGTCATCAATCGTTTCAAGATGGCCGCGCTATTAGTTCGGCAAGCTATCAACAGTCGGGTAACGTTTCCGAGACGTTCTGTATTGGTTTACACTCGTGCGTGATTGCCGCGCATGTTATTTTAACAGCGGATCCCATGCAAATATTTACTGTCTACCGATATTAAAGAATATTCTATCATTATAAGGAGTAGGCGTTATATATGTACTCAGGTGAATATGAGGTTTGTGTGGAACTCTGAGTGCGCATCCACACCGGGCAAACTGAAATGTTCACGTTCCCACGGTGGTCAGGCAAACCTTTCAGCTTGCCAGGTGTGGATGCGCACTCAGTGTAACACCACGAATATCATTATTAGGAGCAATTTGCATTGGTGATCTATACGTGGTTTGTTTAGACGCCGCGATTTGTGGTGTACGATTCGTACTCTGGCGTATGGAAAGTACCGAGTGTGAATTTTATACATTTATTAAGACCTAAGTTAACCAGGAACAGCTGTGAAAAATGCCGAATGTTTGTCGATTGCAAAGTTAACGACTCTTTACGAACGTAGAACTGTACTTTGCAATCGTTTTTTTCTTCAAATATGATGTTACCCATTGAATGCCTCAGACCCCCCCCAAAAAAAAAAAATCTCCAAACATACGATTTGAGTGCTATAGTGCCCAGGTGATGCCATGATAAGGTAAGGTAATAGGTTTTTGGCCATTTCACTCGATCGAACTGATGTGGTTAGAGCTCGACAACTGTCTCTCTGTAGCTCACTTGGTTAGAGCTCGACAACTGTCTCTCTGTAGCTCACTTGGTTAGAGCTCGACAACTGTCTCTCTGTAGCTCAGTTGGTTAGAGCTCGACAACTGTCTCTCTGTAGCTCAGTTGGTTAGAGCTCGACAACTGTCTCTCTGTAGCTCACTTGGTTAGAGCTCAACAACTGTCTCTCTGTAGCTCAGTTGGTTAGAGCTCGACAAGTGTCTCTCTGTAGCTCAGTTGGTTAGAGCTCGACAACTGTCTCTTTGTAGCTCAGTTGGTTAGAGCTCGACAACTGTCTCTCTGTAGCTCACTTGGTTAGAGCTCGACAACTGTCTCTCTGTAGCTCAGTTGGTTAGAGCTCGACAACTGTCTCTCTGTAGCTCAGTTGGTTGGAGCTCGACAACTGTCTCTCTGTAGCTCAGTTGGTTAGAGCTCGACAACTGTCTCTCTGTAGCTCAGTTGGTTAGAGCTCGACAACTGTCTCTCTGTAGCTCAGCTGGTTAGAGCTCGACAACTGTCTCTCTGTAGCTCAGTTGGTTAGAGCTCGACAACTGTCTCCTCTCTGTAGCTCAGCTGGTTAGAGCTCGACAACTGTCTCTCTGTAGCTCAGTTGGTTAGAGCTCGACAACTGTCTCTCTGTAGCTCAGTTGGTTAGAGCTCGACAACTGTCTCTCTGAAGCTCAGTTGGTTAGAGCTCGACAACTGTCTCTCTGTAGCTCAGTTGGTTAGAGCTCGACAACAGTCTCTCTGTAGCTCAGTTGGTTAGAGCTCGACAACTGTCTCTCTGTAGCTCAGTTGGTTAGAGCTCGACAACTGTCTCTCTGT